CCCAGCCATCCCACTATGTGAAAACACTAGGAAATGTTCCCATTTTGATTCACTTGGCCATTGGAAATCAACTTTGCCAGGGTTATATTTTAATGTAATTAAAAAAATTTTTATGTCTTCTGAAACCAAGGAAGCTACCAAGCATAAAAATCTGCACCAGGATGTTTCTTGTACAGCAACATGTGGTTTAAAAAAAAAAAAAATTATTCAATCTTAGAGTTCAAATAGTTCTTTAAAAAGTCATATATTCTAACTTTCTACTCAATGCACACACCTCCCTCGCAACATCCAGAATGCATAACCATTCAACTTCTGCCTGAAAACTGCCTTTCCATCTAGGAGATGAGAAATCCTACTGCATAAGACAGCTTATACCAGTTCACAATTTGTTTTTCTTCCTACAAGAAGGTGTTTGGAAAGAAAAGAAACAGGACATTGTAGCACTTTATTATCATTTGTTGAATTTAGGTCTGAAACTGTTTACACATGGCCCAGGATAAATGGGGACAGAAATGGGTTGCCTGGTGATAGAAGAGGCAGGAGGGAGACCATAAACGCACTGCTGGGTCTTTTAAAAAACTAGTTGTTATAATAATGATGATGATGATGATGATAATAAATGATCATGGCAAAAAATTCAAAAATTAGGGGCGCGTGGTGGCTCCATCAGGTAAGCGTCTGACTTCAGCTCAGATCATGATCTCACGGTTCGTGGGTTTGAGCCCCGCATCGGGCTCTGTGCTGACAGCTAGCTCAGCCTGGAGCCTGATTCAGATTCTGTGTCTCCCTCTCTCTCTGACTCTCCCCTGCTCACGCTGTCTCTCTCTCTCTCTCTCAGAAATAAAACATTAAAAAAAAAATTCAAAAATTATAAAGGATTAATTTAAAAACTTAAGGGGCGCCTGGGTGGCCCAGTCAGTTAAGCGTCCCACTTCAGCTCAGGTCATGATCTCGCAGTGTGTGAGTTTGAGCCCTACATTGGGCTCTGGAGCCTGCTTCGGATTCTGTGGTCTCCCACTCTCTCTACCTCTCCCCTGCTCAGGCTCTGTCTCTGTCTCTCAATAATAAATAAATGTTAAAAAAAAAATTAAAACTTAAGAGTGCCACCACTTCCCATTTCTAATCATACTCTTCAAAGGTGATCATTATTAAATTTTTTGTATATCCAATCAGATATTTTCTATGCTCCCGTGGACATAGCTGTATTATATACGTATTTCTTATACTATACTAACATGATGCTATACTGTTTTGTAAAACTTTTCACTTAGAAATATACTGGGGCATCTTTCCGTATTAGTACATAGGGCTCTACCTTCTTTTTAATAGCTAATTCTACAGTACAAATATATCATCATTTATTTATCCAGATCCATACTGATGACTTTAGATTACTTTCATACTACTCTAATTGTTACACAAAGCCAGAATTTATCCTTCCTATAATTTCTTTCGCTAATTCGTTTTAAATCATTTGGAATAGACCTAATCTACCATTTAACAGCTCTTTTAACATTTGAAAATCACCATCATATGGGGATAAATGGGAGACCAAATACAAGTGTTGAGCTGTAATATCAGAAATCAATAGGGGAAAGGATTTCCTCAAATAAAAATTACCTAAATGTCTGACAACACAGAATGGATGCCTACATTATAGCCTATGAGTATGATGAGCTATTACACAATGATTAGAAACATAAAGACTGCAACATCACGACAAATGTTGTAATGCTAAATGAAAGAAGATGTAGTTACACGTAACTGAGATTAATCATGAAACATATCTGTATATGAAGAGATATTCAAATGAAACGTAGTGGAGTTGGGTAGTAAGAGGATGGATCGTCATTTCTTTTCAAAATATCCTTTCGTATTTTATAACTTAGCTTCTACCATGAAAGAAAAAAAGAAAAAATGATAGCTATGACAATGATCAAGATCATCTTTTTCAGTATCAAGGTCCTCTTTACTTCCATGAGAGATATTAACCATCATGGTAAATAATCAGGTCTTGAAATTTCTTGATGGCAAAGCCACAATTAGCCAACAGAGTGTGAGGTATGACTGCCCACAAGAGAACAGAATAGAATGGAAGGGAAGGTGGTAGAGATCAAAGAAGGAAAAGAAAGTATGGTCAGGAAGAACTCCAGCTTTAAATCATGTTCACAGTCATCCAGTGCTACCATTCTATCTTCCTATGAATAGGGAGCTGATTATGAATTTCCAGATCATATCATATGGTCAGGGCATTAATGGGGTCAAAACCCAAGGTAAAGATTTAAGACCTGGATACTTAAGGAATAAATGATCACACTCCCAAGCCAATACAAAAGTTCCTATTTCAGAAATTTAAAGTCTCAGGGCGCCTAGGTGGCTCAGTTGGTTAAGCGTCCGACTCTTGATATCGGCTCAGGTAATGATCTCACAGTTCATGAGTATGAGCCCTGTGTCAGGCTCTGCACTGACAGTGTGGAGTTTGCTTGGGATTCTCTCTCCCTCTCTGTCTGCCCCGCCCCTTCTCAAAATAATTCCTCCCAAAAAATTTCATCCATTTTATGAGCTGTGATTAAGTCCTTGAAAAAAATCTAAGTCACAATGGACTTTTTTCCCCCTTTTAAAGTATTCCTTGTCATGATACCCAAATATTTTGCACGTCACTGGCCTGTTATGAATAATGACAGACAACCCTAGTCCGTAAAAACAAAGATTACATTATTTTGGTCACTGTGTGCTTTTGGCATGAAATGTTATTTATTTACAATGCCACATCACCTTGGTTCTGAAGAGAGTGGCATCTAAGCTCTGGCTGTTTAAACATTAACTACTGATGAGTTACATTTGCAGCTGGAACTTACTCTAGAAAAACAGGGAGAGAAATTTTTGTGCTTGTAAGTTAGGACTGGGTGTTCATGCTTACATTTATACTAAGATATGGTTAAAAACTGTCTACTTTCTTGTCAACTGATCTACTTTCAAAATAAATTTCCCTTTTTGACCATCTCCAGGAAATATTTTTATTAATAACTTGGCAAAAATCTAAGAGGGCAAACTTATCAAATCTTTGTAACTTTTTTCCCTCACCAAAATACTTCCTAACTGCCTACCATGTGAAAGAACTATGTTGGGCCTGGAGATAAACTTGAGACACAAGGACTACAGAAAATACAAGCCTTGTTCTCAGGAGCTTATGGTCTCACTGCAGGGCTGGGGGATGGAATGTGCAATTACAATTAAAGAATGTTCAATATGTAATCACCAGTAACAGAATCAAGACCAAAAAATATCCCAATATGGCATTTAAGATGTTTGGGTGCTCAAAATCAATTATATAACCGCAAAATTCAGAAAGCGTGGGCTGATGCCAACTTATATATATATATAAAAGAGGTAAAGGTTCCAGTTGAGTAAAACTCCATAAAAGCGTAAAGGTCAACTAGTGAAATGGCTGTTAAAATAGCTCATCTAAATTAACAGAAATATCATAAATGAGATGTGATAATTGTCACCCTGAAATTTATAAAAACAAAAACAACACAACAGCCAACTTTAAAAGTTCAGTTCTGGGGCGCCTGGGTGGCTCAGTCGGTTAAGTGTTTGACTTCGACTCAGGTCATGATCTCTTCGACTCAGGTTTGTGGGTTCGAGCAGCCTGGAGTCTGCTTCCGATTCTGTGTCTCCATCTCTCTCTGCCCCTCCCCCTCTCATGCTCTGTCTCTCAAAAAAATAAATAAACATTAAAAAATTTTTTTTAAAAATAAAAGTTCACTTCTAGGGGAAACCTGGGTGACTCAGTCAGTTGAACGTCTCACTCTTGATTTTGGCTTGGATCACGATCCCATGGTTCATGGGATCGAGCCCCACACTGGGCTCTGCTCAGACAGCATGAAGCCCAGTTGGAATTCTCTCTCTCCCTCTCCTGCGCTTGTGGTCTCTTTCTCTCAAAATAAATAAACTTAAAAAAAAAAGTTTAGTTTTAGAAAGACAAGTTTCAAGTTATACTTATGTCCTGAGAATTCAATGAACAAACATATACTAAGAGGCTATTGTGAGCAAGAACTCATTTTAAGTTCCATGAAAGACAAATGCCTACTGTGGCCTTGCTAGGTTAGGACTATGGCTGATTACTGTCACAGTCAGGATGTAAGACAACTTGAATAACACTGTGTGGCTATTATATAATTCTATATATTCTAGAAAGTGAAACTCAAATTACTCCAATAATACCTTCAATAAGTGGTCCTTGAAATAAAAACATGTTTCAGTCATTCACATAAAACCATCACACTGGAGAAAGCATAAAGTCGAGGAATGTCTACTAATGTCAAACAATGAAACTAGTACTATACAATTTCATCTTCTGCAAGCAATATGCCATATGTATACCTCTTTAGGGTTGGTAACATTTGCTTACTCAAGATATTTTCCTGGAAGCCAGTAAGGTATTTCAGAAATTAGCGCTTTTAGGTAAAAAAATAGGCATGTTTAAAAAAAAAATATGAACTTAATTTTAAAAAAATCCTCAAAGGTCTTAGGTTATTACAATAACATAACTAGGTCTTCCAAATGGATAAAAGGACAGTTTTAAGGTATTTCAGAACATGTATTTTAGTAGATCCTTAAAACAGATACATAGTCTCACTAGTATAAAATATTGCTTGCAAATTGCCAACCCCTCCTCTATTCTTTTGGTTCAAAGAAATTAAAAGAGAGTGAAATTATCAAAAAGCAACACTCCAAACTTTGTGTATTTCAGGTGGTTTGTGGGCATAGTCATGGCATCACAAATCCCTAATCAACTGGCCCTCCAGGAGCCAGAGATCAAGTAGCTTTAGTTGACTATGTTTATTTAATACCTATGCAGCAAGCAGGGGAGATACATGGTCCGGTAGGGAAAAAAAAAAAAAAAAAAAAGGTCTAGTAGACAAGAAAATGTGCATACTTTTGGTCTTTCAGCTAAGCTATAGGCTAAGTACGTGGAGAAAACAGACTTGACTTACCTGCACTGCCGAGCTGTTTATAAAACCTGTATTCTAAATGAAGCTGTGGAGCACGTGATTTTATTGGTTCCTGAAACCCAAAAAGAGAAATTGTGATCAGATTTAGACAAATAAAAATTTTTCATTCCTAGGTTTTCAAAGTAAACCAGGGCCAAGACTCCTTAATACTTTAGAGATGATATCCATATATGATAGCATTTTCTTACCACAATTTCTCTTTGAAAGCACAGCTAGGGAAGGATGAAGCTGAAGTATCCATGGATATTTAAATACAAATACTCTGTATGAGCCATCATTCAAAGATAGCTCCCTCACCAAGAAGTATTCTCCAGAAATGTATTCTCCTAGGAAACCAGATGCCAAACCTTTTAATTAAATACCAGCATGTATTCCTTGCTTGTTTTATTATGAATTTTAGATGATAAACAGGTTTATTATTTTTAGAAAAGACATATGCTCAGAAAACAATTTGAAATACACAAAAATCAGGAAGAGAGTAAAAATAATCTGAGATCCTATGATTTTAAAGAAAAGCACTATTAACATTTTGGTGAATGCCCTTCCAAATATTTATTCATATATATATTTATATGTAATATAGACTCATATATTTAAAACCAGATCACAGTATATTTACTTTTCTGTAATGTGTCTTTAAATTCAACAATGTAATAATGACATCTTTCCATGGCAGTATATAGCTTTATATAATTTTTTAAGTAGGCTCTGTACCCAAAGTGGGCCTTGAACTCACAATCCTGGGATCAGGGGTCACATGCTCTACCAACTGAGGCATCCAGGTGCCCCATAAAGCTTTATATAAAATTTAATGGCGGTAGTATTCCTGCATATGTGTGTATGTGCAGTGTGCACACGCATACATGCACATACCATAATTTTCAGATATCTTGGACTTTTTCAGTTTTCATTATTATGAATAATGCTGTAGGAACATTATATGTGTATTTATTTTTATACTTAAGAGAATTAAAGATTGTAATTGTAATTAAAATATGTATCTTTAATCAATATGATGTTCAACTTTGCAAAAATATAGTTTTCTAAAGACCTTGGAGATAAAACAGCCTGACTACCAGGTCATTTTGTTCTATGCTGAACTTGAAGAATTGGCTGATTATTCTGAACTGACAGTATAGTGGACTAGTTAACAAGAAAATCAAACATTACCCTAGAAGACAGATCTACATACTCTTTAGGATAGCTATTATCAAAAACACAGAAAGTAAGCATAGGTGAGGATGAGCAGAGATTGGAACTCTTGTGCACTGCTGGTGGGAACATGAAATGGTATAGCTATTATGGAAAATAGTATGGCAATTTCTCAAAAAATTAAACAGAATTACCATAGGATCCAGCAATTCCACTTCTGGATGTATACCTGAAAACACTGAAAGTGAAGATTCAAATTGATATTTGTTCACCTATGTTCATAACAGCATTATTCACAATAATAAAAAAGTAGAGGCAACCCAAGTACTATCAACAAATGAGTAAACAAACTATGATTACATTTAGTTCAACACATACATGAAGTATTATTCAACCATAAAAAAGAAAAACATTCTGACATATATTACAACATGGATAAACCTTGAAGACATTGTGCTACATGAAATAAGCAAGACAAAGGGTGCCTGGCTGGCTTAGTTAGAAAAGCATGTGACTCTTTTTCTCAGGGTCATGAGTTCAAGCCCCATGTTGGGTGTAGAGATTATTTAAGAATAAATAGAAAAGAAAGGAGAGGAGAGGTAAGAAACCTGCCAGACACAAAAGGACAAATACTGCATGATTCCACTTATATGAGGTGCCTAATGTAGTCAAATTCACAGAGAGAAAATTCAATGGTCGTTGCCAGGGGCTATGAGGGCAGGGATGCAGAGTCAGTGTTTAATGGGTACAGAATTCAGTTGAGGAAGATGAAAAAGTTCTGGAGATGGTGCTGCACAACAGTGTGAATGTACTTAATGTCACTGAGCTATACACTTAAAAATTATTAAAATGGTAAAGTCTAGGGGCACCTGAGTAACTTAGTCAGTTAAGCATCTGACTCTTGATTATTGCTCAGGTCATGATCTCATAGGTCGTGGGTCCGAGCCCCTGCTTGGGATCCTCTCTCTCCCTCTCTCTCTGTCCCTCTCCTGCCTGTGTTTGCACTTACAAAACAAAACAAAACAAAACAAAACAAAACAAAACAAAACAAAACAAAACAAAAAACTTTGAAAAAACTAATAAATTCTAGATACAATTCTCTATCAGATACGTGATTTTTAAATATTATCTCCCATTCCATGGGTTGCCTTCTCACTATGTTCAGAGTCCTTTGATACATAAAAGGTTTTAATTTTTATAAAATCCAATTTATCTTTTTTCTTTTCTTGCTTGTGCTTTTTACGTCATATCTAAAAAATCACTGCCAAATCTAATGACATGAAGCTTTTCCTCCAAGTTTTCTTCTGAGAGATTTATAGTTTTGGCTCTTACATTTAGGTCTTTGATCCATTTTGAGTTAATTTTTAACATAGGATGTAAGGTAATGGTTCAACTTCAATGCATATGGATATCCGGTATTCCCAAAAACATTTGTTGAAAAAACTGTCCTTTCTCAGATAAATGGTTACTTATACTCTTTGTAAGATAGGCTCAAAGAAAGGAGATCCCACAGCTTCCCTTGACAATTCATGCTGATGTTTAACACAGTTCATGATTTCGAAGGTATTTATATGTAGTTTAAATTTCTACTACCGAACCTTAAGCCTTTTGTCCTCAACAAAATAGCTCCTCAATAACCTATGAATACTATATTAACTATCCTCAAATTACAAAACTATTCAATAATTTCTTAGACATCTCTTATTCAGGCAAAGTAATCTCAATTCCTTGAACCTTTCCTCACTGGTCCTATTTTTTTTACTTCTTTGATCATCTTTGAAAGTTCTTCCTGAATCCACTTGAAGTTTTTGCATTTTTCTTAAGAAATAGAATAAATCCATAAATCCATAAATCACAGAATTCCTAAGTCTCCTTGAAGTTATCTAGTCTATCCATTTGCTTCTAGGAAGGTTTTTCTAAATAAGTTCAGGCAGGCTAAAGTAGTTCATATCCCTAATGAAGTCTATGAAAGAACTCATATCCTTCTTTGATTATAAAATCAGCAATCATCAGAGCTGGAGTTCAAGCTCCTCAAGATTCTTGTAGTCAAAAGAAAAACTACATAAAGCTAATTACACTCTAAAGTCACTTTTTTATTCACTTCTCTCTTCAAATAGGAAAGGATCACCCTGGAGGGTTTCCATCTGGTTTTAGATCTTCCACTGGAGCACCATTAGAACAGCCAATTACAGAATTTGTCCTTGAGAACAATCACTAATAATTCACAATGTGCCCAAGAGAAACAGTGACAACAAATTAATATGGAACCAGAGGTTGATCTTTCTGGAGGTTTTTTTCTGGACAAAGTCTTTGGATTCTGACAAACCAAAAGAAGCAATGAATGAAAAAGCCACAGATCCTTCTTCAAATATAATGCTCTAAAACTACTAGAACTACTTCACAGTAGATGCTGTGATTGGAAATATTCAATCTGATGTTGGGTAACTAAGCTAGTAGATTAATAAAGCAAAAACTCTTTATTTTAGAGTTACAAGGCTGAACGTGGGCATATATGTCACATATATTTGGACAGAGGAAGCTTTTTATCATAGATCAAAGTATTACACCCTTTAAGCCAACCCCTTTAGCATACAGTTGAAGCCTGCTCAGACACCTGAAGCTTTAAGGTGCTCTCCTGGAAACACTATGAATAAAGGACACTGTAAACACTAAGTCTACATTTTGTGGAAGGCATCGAGATTAGCAGCAAAGATAGATTTTTTTTTTTTAACAACTGTTAGAAAAGTTCTGTTAAAAAAAAAACCTGGGAAATCTTGATGATGGGGGTAAAGGAAGGGCTCATTATACTATTTTATGTTGTATATGGTTTTTTAAAAAGGTTCCTAGAAATCTAAGAAACAAGAGCCCAAAATGAAGATCCAAACAAAGTAGAAGGAAAACAGCACCAGCAGGGCTTCCTTGTATTTCAGTGCCAGATGCTGATTACATTTCCACAAAGGGCTGGCTATTTGCCAGAATCACGGTTATTCTGGAACACACATGTCTGCCTGAAATCCTAAACCGACAGCAGACAGCTACCTAGTCTTGCAGGACTATAATGCTTAAGGCAAATTTTGCTATTACAATGAAAAGAGCTCAGTTACAGCCCTCTTATCTCCCAAGGAGAACACAGCCCAACAGCAAGAGAGGTGGCCCACAGACAAGATTGCTATCCTAGAAAGTCTTTATTTAAGATTTATCTGAAAGAGAAATGAGCTCCTGAGACACACCATACTAGACAACATGAAGATTACTTTTAGCTGTCACTCTAGGCAATACAAAGTAGAATAAAGTTTAATAAACTGTAAGTGAAATGCACTGATCCATCATGTCAACAATACGTTATATAAGCTTATTGAACTAGGTTGACTAGTATGAACTTGGAAGAAGAAATATATAGAGAAAAAACTGCCCCTAACAAAAAGGCTCTAAGAGAGGTCTGGAAAAATAAAGGAACGGTAACAAATAAATATACAGTACTGAGAGAGTGTTTTCACAGGTTTCAGGAGCTACTCCTGGTTACTAGACCAACTTGCCAAAGTCGTAAAACAGAAAGAGTAAAAAAAGAGATGAGCTAGAGAACACTTTTACAGAACCAAATTCCTATAAATAAAAACTATGGTTAATCCTTTGACATTCTATCTGAGACATTGGTTGGGCTGCATTGTTACATGCATTACTTGTCTTCCTACTCCCATTTCTCTAACCAGAGTTCTAAGTCAACAAACAAAACCCTTGGTTCCCTAGCAGCTACCTGCTCTAAGCCCTGCTTCCTGTTCACGTCTTCACAGAGAAACCAATCTGATAACTGTCTGCTAGCTGTCTTCGCAAAACAACTCTGGCTCCTCCACAAACTGACAAGCTCAATCCACACACAGAGCAGGTGTGGATGTGGTTAAGTGCAGTTCGTTAGAAAAGAACAGCGTCACTATGGTTATCACGAGATACTTCCTTCACCCCCTAACTCCTCTGTCTTCCAACTAATAAAGCCCCAAACTGCCTGCAAATCCTGGGAAACTTATTAGAAGGACAAACATTTACACAGTTTCATAGAAACTAGTTATGGGTCGCTTGGGTGGCTCAGTTTATTAAGTGTCCGACTTTGGCTCAGGTCATGATCTCATGGTTCGTGAGTTTGAGCCTCACATCGGGCTCTGTGCTGACAGCTCGGAGCCTAGAGCCTGCTTCGGATACTGTGTCTCCCTCTCTCTCTGCCCCTCCCCTACTCATGCTCTGTCTCACTTTCTCTCAAAAATAAACAAACATTTAAAAATTAAAAAAAAAGAAACTAGTCACATGACATAACTTCATATGACTAGAAATGATTTTGTATTGACCTTAAATATAAGATAAAGAATTTTCTTCTAAAATTACTATTCCTAGGGGCACCTAGGTAGCTCAGTTGGTTAAGCATATGACTTTGGCTCAGGTCATGATCTCACAGTTCGTGGGTTCAAGTCCCACATTGGGCTCTGTGCTGGCAGCTAGCTCAGAGCCTGGAGCCTGTCTTCGGATTCTGTGTCTCCCTCTTTCTCTGACCCTCTCCTGCTCATGCTGTCTCTATTTCTCTCTCAAAAATGAATAAAATATTTAAAAAGTTACTAGTCTTCAAAAATAATACATATATTTATAAGAGGATGCTATCTTTAGTGACTAGGTTAGTTATTCATTAGTGCTGACAAAACCAAGTGAACTTTTTGCTTCAGATTTGACAAGATGTGTTTTTCACATTTGACAGATATTAAAGGCAATGAACTGACGTTCAGATTTGGTCCTCTACTAAGTATATTAATAAATAAATACCTTACATTTTAAAAATGGATCAGTAAGTCAAGCAAAAGAAAATGATAAAATTCTCAATGCTTTTGTCTTTTAAAATAGTACTGTGAAAGGTACAAACCACATAGAAATTACTAGTCTTCCAGCAATTTTTTTCTTCCAGCTATTTTTAATAACTATTTTTTGATGCACTGTTGCCACAAGTATACTTGGCTTCATCTAACTATAGAGTGTTATACAGTGTACCGTGATTCATCACTGTAGCACTATATATGGCTAAAGGAAAAGGACTATGTGGGACCATATGCAAAGGAAAAAAATAGTACTTTTGTGAATGCTTACAACTATTTCCTGTAAAAAGATATGTGAAGGGTGAGAGCACCAAAATATAATTACTACAAACATAGATTCTACTCACCAGTTTGATAGCTACATATTCATTGGTGTAGAGATTTTTACCTAGGGGAAAAGCAGAATGTATATGTTTTAGTGACATTTATTGTGGGAAATACACAGCAAAATCTTAGCTTACAGGGTCATGAGAAAGGTCACGTTCCCAATGCTATTCACATATATGAAGCATGATTTATAAGCAAAAAGCTAAAGAGATAATGAAGCCCAGTAAGACAAGAATAGAAACCACTTGAGAATTTGGAAATTTAAGTTAGACATGAGAACTTAGAAAAAAGAAAACAAGTCTCTTCTCTCTCACACATGTTTTGTTATTTATTATTTCCCGACAACTAGGCCATGAAGCAAACCAAGAAGTGCCAGAATGTCAAAGAAACAGAAATTTTAACTCTTGGCACAATAAACACAAATCCTCACTTTCTAAAATAACAAATGAGAATTATATATTATTTGTCACAGTACTGAGTGTCAACTTCGGTTGGTGGAAAGTGTGAAATAAAAGCAATTACTGCCCGAAAACTCACCTACTATCTGTAAGTAGATGATTTTCAAAGCTGTTTGGATTCTTTAACAGAACTCTAGCTCTTTATGTGCAGAAAACAGCTCTCTACCTGGACAACTTAGACATCTCAGAGTTCTTCCTGAAATAGTAAGGATTTTTCCTCTCAACTTCTCTACTTGAATAAGCGGAATCAGTACCCTCCTAGACATCTAGAGGAAGTGCCTGGTATGAGGATGAGGATGAAGGCAGAAATTAAGCACTTAGTGAGCTCATCCTACATGCTGGGTACTTAGCTATCTTCACCTGCCCACCTCTACTGATTCTGAAGGCGAATTTTAATTCTTCTTGAGTGTTTAGTATATGCCATGTAGTTTAGCCACTGCATTGGACTTCACATTTCTTCTTAGACATTTGTCCTATCTTAATCAGCTACACTATGAATATCTTGAGGGTAGGAACTATTTATCCAACAATTTTCTCAATGCCTCATGGTATTTAAGACTATATTCTGCACATCTCAGACACTCAAAACACTGCCTGATAAAAGTTATTGGCATATATAATATAATTACTTTCTAAATACATAAAAGTAAATGTATTTGTACGTATATACACACACATATATATGTATATGGCTAAATATATATGCATGCAGAAGGATATAGAAAGATGTACATTAAGGTATTAAAATGACTGTTTCTTAGTATTTTCTGATTTTTATATATAATATTTTTATATTATAATTTTTATAATAAAAAACACTTTATATTGGAAACAAAAGGCTGCTTGCAAATAAAAGTTCCTATTTTAACCAAAGTCTAAACAATAGGCAGCCCTTTGCAAACTATACCACTATACTTTTAATAAGACTATCAGGTTGCTGAGCACCTTTATGTGTCAAAGAATACACTAATTTAGGTATAACTTTTGTCTCCAAGTAACATAATAAAGAGGACTTGCCAACTGCCAGAGAAATACCTAAGACACCATTAAAGATGAACAACTTCTTTTTTAAAGAAGCCAAAGTAGAAAAAACTGATTTTTTTCTCTCTGTATTAATTTAATTCAGCTTTTAACAGTTTGTGTTTCTGAATAATCTTCCCACCAAAAACATTTTTAAAAACATATATGATGAAATTATGAAAAGGAACTAATGACTGGGAGAGGAACAGATGAGGCAGAAAGAGCCAATGCAAGGAGATTAAAGTTCCCTTCAGGTACAAAATTAAATTTTATTTTCTGTTTAAAGAAACAAAAAACTTCAGCTTAGCTACAGAGTTATCTCACACCAGATACAATTCTGCATAAAGATTTTTCAGGATAGCCCTTCTCAGCACAGTATAACCACTATTATTGTGACCCCAAATTAGTTTTGATACAAGGCTGACCCTAAGAACTTAGTATTACTTAAAGGAAAACAGTCACTTTCAAATTGTAAATATGTTTAGGAGTCTTTCTGAATTGGATACCTCCTTACACCAGTTTTTACGATTAGAATTCCTATGGGAGGCAAGGGTATGAAAATTCACCCCTTACTCATTTAAGTATAAGACGCCTTTACTGTCAAAGATAACTTAATCTTTAAAGTATACCTGTGAAGTAACAGATCTTTAATTCAATAGATACAACATTTAAAGTGAAGTATGGTGGTGGTTGTAACTGTAACAGATTAACAAACCTGGATTCTTTATTTTTAATTATTTAATGTTTTATTTATTTCTGAGAGAGAGACAGCGTGAGCAGGGGAGGATGAGAGAGAGAGGATGACACAGAATTGGAAACAGGCCAGGCTTTGAGCTAGCTGTCAGCACAGAGCCCGACGCGGAGCTCGAACCCACGAATTGTGAGATCATGACCTGAGCCAAAGTCGGATGCTTAGCCGACTGAGCCACCCAGGCGCCCTTAACAAACCTCGATTCTGATGTGTAAGCAAGAAAAGAGAGAAGGCAATTCAGGAGTTCTCAAGAAATAAATTTTTTCTTTTTTTCTTCTCCCTACCTTCTTCCCCCAAGAGTCTTAAAAAATGAGTAGGATTTTAATAGTTGAAGAAGGGGAAGAGGCATCCCAAAGTGAAGAAACTGTATGAACAAACAAAAAAGTGACAAAGTAGATGGCACAGTCTAAGTATGATAAGTGGTCTCGGAGTAGATGGACCATACGTTGCATTGTGAGGACCTGAAAGGGGTAGGGACAGACAAAGAGGGGTTAGGGTAGAAACAGGACTAGAAAAGTAAGACTCATCATACATGAGAAAAGTCCTCAATGCCACCTTAAAGTTTAAAACAAAGTTTTTGAGTAGGGTAGTGACATGATCAGATCTGTGATTCTGAATAACCAATTGTGAGGAAACATAAGTGATCAGTTAAAAAAAATAAGAGACCAGAGGTAGGGGAAGGCATCTAAACATTTAATACACATCGTATGCAAATATCAAACAGCTAAGATGAGTAAAACCCAGTTCTCACCCTGCAGACACTGTATTCTAGCTCCGTACACAGGGCCTTGCACAGGTGGCACACAAGTTTACTGAATTAATCATATAATGTGATGAGAGTTAAAAGAGTAGTATCAAGTCAGTAGAGGAGCCTGGATAAGGGAGTGCAAAGCATCTGGCCACAAGTGGCACTCACGGTGAATCTTGGAAGGACAGAGAAGAGAATAAAGAATATTTCATAGTATATAAAAGATACTAATTTGAACAGTGAGGCGGAAACATGATAGGAAATGCACAGAATCTGATGTACTGCATGTGGACCAATATGAATGGAGCACAAAGTAAATGGAGAAAAATAGTGAGAAGTAAAGTCAGAAAGATCCAATAGGGACGGAGTGTGAATCACTCTGAATGCCAGCTTCTCACCCTGGGGTATGCACAACTAAGCATACACAGAGATATGCCAGGGCATAAGCTACACAAATAAGACACACTTTTCCTAGATCCTCACTTTCCTTCGAAGATTTGGGAAAAATCTTTTCTATAGTAAAACAAACTTTTTATATTATAGAAATTGCACAGATTTCCTTTTGAAGAAAAAAATGTAAGAGTTTAAAGAAATCCCAGGCACTTCTTCCATGTGCTTCTTCCAGAGTCCATGGGAGGAGGTCTCACCAATCACTTGAGTAAGCTTTTTCTTTTTCTCATTTTCCCCATTGGGCAGCCCAGGTTTCACGGCATATTTCACTTTCTACGGTGTGAACCTTCCATCTCCTGTGAAGGCGGGACAAGATATCTGGCAGGGGATGCCAGGGAGGGGGATGACTTAGCCATCCCACTGCTTCATATATAGACTTGCAACTAAGCTCCATTTTTACTCCTCCTGCATCCCTACTTTCTGAGCTCCTAGTGTCTCCAATTCTGTAGCTTAACTAGTGTAATTTATGTTACAACCCCCCCCCCCTTTCAATCATCAACTTTCTCTGGACTACTAAGTCAATTACCACTTAACTATCTGCTTTCCAGCTTCCAAAATTTTGTTAACATTTCTCACCTGTTTTCCTCTTCTCTCTCACTTTGTGTGTGCGTGCGTTTGTGTGTGTATTTATGCCTTAAGGAGGTCAAGAAGAACGTTCAACTCAACTTTTTAACCCCGGCAACATATATAGTAACTGATATATAATAGGTAACAGATGCTTGCTGCAGTGAAACAAACTAACTTAACATGCAGAAGGTTCTGAGAAAGCTCTAGGATAATAAAAAAAAAGGAGCCTAATTTATAATCAGATATGGATAATCTTAAATGCAAATATAGGAGTTTTGATTTTCTTATTCAGCTTGCTTTGAAACCAACAAAGGTCTTGTCCCATTAGTAAAAGCATAATGGTGAAAGCTGTATTTTAAAAATATTAATCTGGCCCCAAAGTATAAAATAAAAAGAGAATACCAAGAAAGAAGATGAAGGGGAAGCTTTGATACATTTAAAGAATAAAATCTACCACACATAGTATAATTATGAGAATTATATGAGTTAGAATATGTGAAAGTTCTTTCTAAACTGCAAGGTGCTAGATAAATCTAATTTTTACCTACTTTTTATTATGAGCCAATAACTCCTGGAAGAAAATAACTTGAAAAATACGATTTATAATCAAGGCATTTCAATGATACAAAACTAATAACCTTTAGATTACCTGTAAACGTGAAGGAGAAGGAAAAGAGAATAGTAAAAAATATCTGCATTAGTGGAGAATAGAAAGAACCAAGAGACGAGGCACTCTTCCACTCTACCGTTATGATGCCTCCCTCCAAGTTCCCACTAAACCTGAAAGTAACAGATAATTATGAAATGTCTCTCAGCTTCAACATTCGTATCTATATAAAAAATAGGGAACCCTGGTTGGCTCAGCTGGCTAAGTGTTTGACTCTTGATTATGGCTCAGGTCATGATCTCCCAGTTTGTGAGTTCCAGCCCCGGGTCCGGCTCTACACTAATAGCAGGAAGCTTGTTTAGAATTCTTTCTCTCTCTCTCCCTTCCTCCTTCCCTCCCCCACTTGTGTTCTCACACTCTTTCTCTCTCTCTCTCATTCTCAAAATAAATGAATAGACTT